AGCAATACTCACCCCTAATGCCACTCCAAACCTCCAGTAGCCTATGACCTTTTCTCTGTGAAACACAAAAGAAATTTACATATAAAGATGTACTCAGGGGTCAAAAAGCTTCTGAAGTTCAACCAGTTGCATTTAATATAAATTTAAACTATAATAAATTTACTTGCAAATAACATGCAATTAAGTGTTTGTAAACATTACTTAAAATTAAATTTTAATTAAAGTTTTTTGGGTGTTAGTATCAATATGTTAGTCTTAAGGTTATCTATAAGGCAGTGTGCTCCAAAACACCACCGCACCGCACACACACTCTGCTCCGGTCCAGAGACACGATAGCACAGAGCGGATCACATGCGCGAGTCGGCGCAGACCACAAAATATATCAGAGCGATTTGAATTCTACACAGAATGTTATATTTTATAGCAATATGGATGAGATTGTGGCTGGCATACCATGTCAAATGCGGTTTTATGGAGCTCAACGGCTCTAGCCCAAGCTGTGATATAAACGAACGCTATTGGCTATTTTAAAAAGGGGCGGGGCTGCTTGATATGTCCCGCCCTGTCTTCCTGTTTCAGTTAAAATGACGTCAACACAGAGTAACGCTGCCTGTTTCTAAGCATTTCAGGGGACCTTTAAGTACATTATTTCCTCAATAAGTATCCCTTTTAAAAGTATGCTTAAGTATATTTGTTTTTCACAAAGGTGGTTCTTTAAAATACAGACCCATAATGCACGTAATGAAGTTATGAATGATTTACGGTCTAAATATAAACTGAATCAAGCCTATTCCTAAACTAAAGGCTGTTTTGTATTTTGCAGCATCCCTGGATAAAGCAGGCCAGCCATCACTGAGAGCAATGTTGCAGACTAAACTCACTAAAGGAGGATTCTTTGGACTGAACTGTGGCATTTTGCCAAACTTCATGAAAGTTACTCCTGCTGTTAGCAGTTGTGGACAAGTACACAAAGACAGGGCTAGGAATTTCAAAATAAGAGTCACTTACTGTCTGTGTCCTTTTCCCCTGAAAGTCCTAAAGCAACAAACAAAGGAAATAGCACAAGTATGTTACCATACAAAATTCCTGCAATCACGTTAGTACAGCACTAAGTCATTTCCAGTGTTTTTTGGGGATCACAGTGGAATTCAGGAGTTTGTTCCACCACAAAGTAGCAGTGAATGTGAAGGTTATTGAAAGTGGCCTTGAATTTTTTAACCATTAAATGTTTGGAATGGTGGAATTCACCACTTTTAGTGCTTTAAGTGACATTTCATCCTCTCTCTGGTTTTCAGAATTAGGATGCTTATCCTATTGCACTTTAAGACTTTGAATGCAAAATGATCTCAGTAACTGGAATAGGAAAAAGTGAATAGGTAACTGTATACATGGTACATCAAACTCTACGTCACAAAAAAAAAAAAAAAAAAAGGTTTGACCAGTTTAAAGGATAGTTTTGATGTTTTTTCAAACCTGTATGAGTTTTTTTTCTTTGGTTGAACACAAAATTTGATATTTTGAAGAATGTTGGTAACCAAAGCGTTGACGGTCGGTAGTCATTGACTTCCATAGTATTTTTTTTCCCCATACTATGGAGGTAAATGGCTATCAACACACAAAAGATATTTTGAAGAATGTTGATTAGGGCTGTCAAAAAAAAATTAGAATTGCGAATATTCGTCGAATTAAAAAAACAACAATCCACATTCGAATGCAAAAATGTTGCATCCGAATTTCAGGTCTGCGTCAGCCATATCAGTGGCGCACGAAATGCGACGACAATGTAAGTGTCATTGCATTTTAATGCTTTTGTTAGCCTATCAAGTTGAACCCACTAGATGCGGATCTTCTACGTTGTTCATTCAATATATTGCGGAAAACGAGAGCATCAGTGTGGCGAAGATGTTGTTTACGTCAAAACTGAAACCAAGCCGTTCACACAGAACGCATATTTATCACATTTTCTAGAGGGAC